CGATAAATTGTTAAGCCTATAATTATTCTTCGTTCAACAATTAAAAAGCTATTTTCTAGAAATTCAGTGGACACTTATTGTAAGTTCTGCTTGTGCTTTCTGACATTAGCTTTGCCTGTATGTAACTTCCCGACTAAGATAGAAACTTTAGCTTTGGTTGGAGTGTTTAGAGTTCGCTGATACTCCGTACATCCCCGGATCCTTGGATCCTTGGAAAAAGAGCTGAGGAAAATGTAGCAAAATAATAGGTCAGCGTGACACCAGTCTGCGCCTTTTCTGTTAGGCGCGATTAAGGCGTGGATTATTTCTGTGTTTGGGGAGAAATCTACCACCTTTTTAAGCCTATAAAATCCAAACAGGTAATTAACAGCATGGAAGATATTCAAACTTCAGGGTAATACCAGAAATTGCCTGTCTATCAACTTGTGTTAATCCTCTCATCGCAATTATTTCCGGGTAAGGTGACATCGAATGATATCACCTTTTTATAGTCATGAGATCCTTTTAATAAAATTCTCTTTTTGCCTCACAGAAGACCTAGATCACCTCTTTCGTCGACTTTCAAGTAGGTGTCGCACTTGTCTTTGTGACGGGTCCTCACATCCTAGTCCTAGCAAATGTTGGAGACTAAGCTATCTGTGTGATGCAGTTGGTTTAGTAAAATAGCTGCACATTACCAATATCTAATGAGGAATATCTACTACACCATACAACATCCCAGCACCATCTCCAACGCTGAGTTTATTTTCTCTTTCTTCCATTCTCATTTATTGGTCGATTCTTTTCGTTTAAAATTAAAAAAATTGACATTTCAGTTTGACTAATTCTCTCCGTGTGTATTTTCCATTTTGAAGTATTAGAAATTTAGAAATGTACTCTCTAGAGTTCTGAGTGTCTCAGGGCGTGCCTGATCGTCGCGTTGTCTTCTGGGGGCTAGGTAAGCCGGAGCATGATCTTGTAAACTGTCTGTGCGCAGGTGTGACTTGGTGCAAATCAAACTAAAGTCGGCATTGATACTGTCTAGTACCCCTTAAATTATGAACTAACCTTGGAGTACCACTAGCCATCCCAAATCTTAGTTTACACTTTTTCTTGAACGTCAGATTTAATTACTTATACACTAGACTTATGCCAAATATTTTACCAAATTTTAGCGACAAAGGTTTTCAGTAATGAAGCGTAACATTAAAATGGCAAATTTTTTTCCAATGCCAGCACACAACAATCTGAAATCTCTCTGATCACGTGTTCGACACACTTGATAAAGTAAGGCTACGCGTTTAGCATACAACGTAAATGAATACACTCTCTGGATACCTAAAGTTGTTGCATCAGAGAAGGAAGTTCATGTATTCAATAGCTGGATGTATAATACATGTCTCTTTGGAAATACACAATGACGAGCCCTATCGAAACATTATCGCGCGATGAAAAGCTGGAGAGCCTTGGAATTATTTGACTAATTTTCTATTTCATTTATATAAACTGTAAACCCTGTGGTCAGGCGAAAAGCAATTGAAGTGAAATTTATTATAGAAGTATTACATAGTAAGATTATATTTTCCATTTGCCATTCTGGGTCAGTCAAAACTTCATTTTTGTTTACTTGAGGTTTCCGTCAATCAGAGAGCCGAGCCGAGCCGAAGCTTGGACCCACAGTACCTACTAAATTATCTAGAGGTTTTTGTGTTGTGTGTTGTTTATTGTAATACTTGAGTCTATGACTATCTAGCACATTGGGCTCCTCTCTGACCCAGGCCACACATTGTACAGAGCTCCTTGCCTCTTTTATTACTAGTAAGATCATTGATATATTGCCCTTGTCGAATAGCCATTCATCTCAGTGTTTACCGGTGGAATTCCGCCACCTTTTGCACGGAACCTTCTACCTCAAAAAATAAAATGGTAGCAATGGAAACTGCGTGCGCCGGAAAAAGTCTCAAAAAACCTGTTGCCCCAGCCAGGCGAGGCCTAGACACCGGGTCCACATGAGGTGCGCATATTCATCTATATCTCTCTTCTTTGTAACATTCGAGGCCGACTTGATCCAATCCACCATCTCCGTATCGGATGCAGGTTACCCTGCGGAAACTCATCGGATGATTTCTCCTCCGTGATCAAGGGTTGGTGATGAGAAGGGCTTCGACCCTACCACGTGATCTGATCGTAGTTAGCTTCATGATAATAGTGATAGGGGGCTGTGCTGAGAGATGAAGAAAACACAGACCGCGAAAGTGATTGGGAATCCTCATGGAAGTGAGGGTTTTGTTACTCAATCTCGGCCCTGCAGACTGTACAGTGAGAGCTGGAGGCTCGTAGGGGCAAACACAGACAGGTACTGGGCTCTCGTCCCCTTATCTAGAGGGTTATACGCCAGTGATTATCGCCCTGGATCTTCGATCCCTGCTATTCACCGACTCGAAATATCTGACTCTATATATCTAAGATTAAGGTGATGTGTGGCAAAACTCATACACCACGTATAGCACGCGTTGTAGATGTACTACCTACCGCCCTATAATCCATGATTTCGCTTAGTTTCATCGGAAATTAGGCTATCATGAACATAAATAGAACATGTGCTGCGCGGGTATGGCTTTGGAAAGTTGTGACTAGATATATTTTCTCGTTCACCCCTAAAACAGCTCCTATATGTGCCAGTCATGATCTGTAGCTAAGTAACAGAGGAAAATTGATTGAAGCAACGGAACTCGTCATCCCGCCACGCTGATTTAACACAGCTTCATGTCCAGGTTGAATCTTGTTCCCATAATTTCGCTACAATTAAATATTTAATTGAGTAAGATAATTCTTGTGTGTATCGGATATATCTTGTACTTCGTGCATGCTCGGTTATCAGTTTCATTTTTATTCTGAGTTTCAAATGCTTGAGCGAACTACGATACCTAAGGCCAATTATCCCGAATTATCTTTATCGACTTTAAACTTGTTCGTCAACTTTGTATATGTACGTCTGTTATAACAGACATTGGAAATAATTTATGAGATTGCTTGATGAGAGGCTAGGATTGATTCCTATATAATTTGGTAAAAGACTTGTCCCAACTATCAGAGGGCTACAACGTCCTTAACCATCTACAGGTAAATTCAACATATTCCAACTACGCTAGCTATACAGGACGTAGCATATAAAATTTGATTCGTATCATCATTTTGGGGTTGAGGTTTACCGTGTATTTTGCTACCTGAGCCGCATATCTGACTACTATGCGACACGCTCGGGTATCAATCTAACAGCCCATACTAAACCGAAACTACTCACAACCCTGATGATGACCCCATGAATAATTGTAACCGTAGCCTGCAACATAGCACAAGTAGGCTAGACATCGTTGATCGGGACCTAATCCGGAAATATCTAGACTATTTCACACCAAGTTTGGCCTTCTGTAGAGCCTTCTTATTCAGTGCTTCCATGCTACATTGCCTATAAGTTCTTGGAACTTTAGCAATCCTAATTAGTTACTGAATTAGTAGAGGCTTAAAATATAAATCACTTTTCTTTCGTCTCATCTTGAAACTTACGTGATCTTCAGACATTGTTCTTTACAGGTCACAGAAGTGTCCTGATCTGCTATTTAAGCTTCTCAATAGTGGGTTTTATTGTCTTGGAGATCCTAAACTAGTTGTAAAATCGGTACTTGGCTTTTTTTCATAATATTACGGTAATGTCTAGACTAATTTATAATAGTATTTGTACTAGACTACTTTATATTGATAACTTCTAGTATTATTATCCCTAAATCATGTATTGTTACTCATCAATGATGGGGGATGAAAACCCGACAGCTGTTAGTGTTGCCCCTGCGAGTCTACAGCTCTCACTGTAGAGTCTACAAATGCCAGGTTGAATTAAAACTTCATTATAAATTCGGTGAAGATTCCCAATTACTTTCGCAGTCTATATCGTCTTCATCTCTCAATACATTTCCCCTATTACCATTATTATGAAGCTAACCACGATCAGATCAGATGGTAGGGTCGAAGCCCTTCTCATCACCCACCCTTGATCATGGAGGAGAAATCATCCGATGAGTTTCCAGAGCGTACCGAGCACCTGATACGGAGATGGTGGATTGGATCAAGTCGGCCTCGAATGTTACAAAGAAGGGAGATATAGATGAATATGCGCACCTCATGAGGTCCCAGTGTCTAGGCCTTGCCTGGCTGGGGCAACAGGTTTTTTGAGACTTTTTCCGGCGCACGCAGTTTCCTTTGCTACCATTTATTTGGGGGTAGAAGATTCCACGGGTAAACACTGAGCTGAATGGCTATTCATCACGGGATATATATCAATGATCTTTCAAGTAACAGAAGAGAAGAAGAGCACTGTAAGAGACGTGGCCTTAGCCAGAGAGGAGCTCAATGTGCTAGATAGCCTAAGACTTGAGTAGCGAAATTAACAATACAAAGACCCGGCGATGATAAATTGTGGGGCTGAATGAAATGTTGAGTTAATATTATCATCAGGCTCCAAAGCAGAAACGAGCTCAGAAGCCTCTGCAGCTAGCAATTGCAGATCCCGAAATTAGGAGAGCGGCCAAATTTTATCAAAGTAGAAAATCTGCTCGACAAAGACTGAGTCTTCAAAACTCATCATTTTTTCTACATCGTAACCTGAAAAGGGCCCAAAGTAGTTTGGCATTGCAAATTTCCAGCGAGCACATGGGGCTCAACTTGTATTTACGCAGAAGAAAAGTACCCAAAGTATTAAGTCCAGGTTGTCCATGTGACTGCCAATCGCAGAATCCCAATCATATGATTATGTCCTGCCCCCGATGGTTAAATGGTAGAGCTGAGATCTGGAGACAAGCCAATAATTCCGTACTACGAAGCGACAACAAACAATCCTGGAGACATCAAAGGATAACACAGTGGACCCTAAATCACGGTTGGATAGAGCAATTCCAGATACAAAAGGCGGTCGAATGAATGAATGAAAATTTATTCGTGACGATCACAAGCCCCGCACTCAAAGGTCATGACACGGAGAAGACTGGCTTCCCCGACGACCATCTACGACGATAATTCAGTTTGACAATTGGGCTACTCATGTATTGAGTGCATTCGCTGGTAATATTCGAGATCTTGGTGCTAGGGACTTTCACCCTTCTCTCACCTGTTAATATCCAACAAAAGGAAAACAGAAAAACCTTTGGCCACACTAACATACCTTTGCCATCCTGTACATAGCCGTCGCGCGAGATATGGCCTCACAGTCCTCCCTTTTTCGAGTGAGGTAGGTGTTCAGGCTACCCAGACTTTAATTCGGTGAGATGACCAGAAAGCGGACCAAAACACCTTCCATCGTTGTCTGATTTTAGAGTGTGGGTTGCACTATCCGAAATCGTTGCCTCTGCGCTCACAGACATCCTTAAGTTGAAAACACTCGAAAAATGTGCATCACAGCTTGCCCACTTGTGACCTCTTCACTCGTTCGTCCCACGTTCCAGCTGCCTATCCTCCCTCAAGATGTGAAGCCCCATAAGAGCTATGGTACCCCGTAGACCAAGAGCCGAGCTTTGTAGATTATGACTTAATTTCCTCCTCACGGGTATACGTAGCATCGTAATTTTGTAGTGGGCGATGGCGGGTTTTTGATGAGGCAAATGCCCGATTGCAATTGGAGTAACGCCTTTATTGGTATTTGAAGCCAGGTGGTGTAGTAAGACTGAGGTGGAGGACTCGCGTGAGAATGATAGATCCGACATTGACGAGAAGTCATCGACTTTAGATATGATTGAGGTTGCTTTTGACTTCGATTCGGATACGATTCTTCTTGGCTATCCCAGATATGCAAAGCATACTGAGCGATTAGAGATGATCTGGTTGATTTACATAGATGGCAATTTAGTGTAACTGCGCTTCCTGAAGAAATAATGTGAAAACTAAAGACAACAAGCAGAAACCTGCGGGGGTTTTCACCATAAAGGTTTCCTCCCGTGTAAATATCACAGATTGTAGACACCTGTATGGGCCCATGGGGCGCAAAATCAGGATAATGAAATCAAATTCAAATCATCGGGCTTATTTTATGCAAGTTATTTACTGGTTTTATCTCGGCAAATGTTAGCTTTTGTAGGCAGGTTAGGTATTATCGATTTGAAAATTGATGGATCTTGTGGCCAGGATATTGTTGAGAATCCTCGGGTCCAAAGCACAATATTTTGATGGACGATTTCTCCCGAAATAATGGTGCAGGGAGCTTTCAAAAAAGTCTCGCCGGGCTGTTTGTTTTTATTGATTTATAACAGGATATTGGAGATTATGCTTGAACATTTCGCTTTCGAGAGCTTTGAGCCATTAAGTATTTGTAGTAGCAAGGTCAGTTCATGGCCACTATATTTTTTCGCGTAACCCCAAACCTACTTGTACCTAAATCTTATAGTTTCTAGTATAGATCGAATCTTTTCGAAAGGCGAAGTCTTATTTAGCCGGGCTTTGATCAAATAATTCAACAAAAGTCTTGAGAAGTTAGAACTTTATCATTTTAAACCTATTACATCCTTACTTGTCGCTAATTCTAAGCTGAAAAGAAAAAATTTGTCTTTTTTATATATCAAACAGTAGAGGTAGGCCTCTAATATTCGTCCTTCAGGCTTCTCTATTGTAGCGAGTCAGATGTTATCCTGTCCAAAATAAAGACTTTAGCCTGCCGCTATATACTTCGATACCTCAAAATGATGAGTTATTGATAATATGAAAACCCGAATTATTCATAATTTAAACAAAGCAGTACAAGTTTCCTCAAGATGATGGATGTTTAATAAACAATAGTTTCACAGGGTCTCGAAAGCTGTCCTCAATGGACATTAAGGCGCAATTGAGCTTTTCCTTTCAAAGTCATTGTCATGGCATAGACCTTGTAGCTTTAGAGCTTTCCTGCGCATCTCTAGAGAGGAAGTCATGGCTTCCCTGCTACAGACGATCTATTGATGCACGTGTAAAGACGGAACCATAGCATGTCTCGAGGGATAATCCTTGAGACTTGTAGGCGTACTTATCCCAGATGTTTAATCACGAAGAAAATGAAATCATTTTGAGATGAATAGCTATCATTTCTTTAAACTTCCTCTAGCTATCCGTCAGCTTTTGTTCCTGATGCGCGGTCCAGCTGTGGAAGAATCGTAGCTATTGTCGTCCATGTTCGCTATTGCCTAGTTTAGTAAGTAGTGAGACGGAGGGCAAGACTGAACACCTGTACGCGGTGTCCTCTACGAACCTGGGAGTGAAAGATTCTCCCAGAGCCAAGTTCAGTCAAATTTCGCAATATCAAAGAAGTTGGCCCACGGGGCAAAAATCCAAATTACTCATCCACTTCGTTATTTCGCTCCCAACAAGTTTGACCCCTATCTTCGTCTCATCGAGTCTACAAGTACGACCAAGTACATCCTCATTCCAATGACCACACCACTCCTCGACCTTCTCTGGCCTCAGCTGGTCACCAAATACACGCCCACGCCGATATTTATACCCGATGGAGGAAGCAAAGCGTGGCGCACAAATCTGGGAGACAGTTCTTTGGAATGGACGTGAGAGGGATTAGGACAAGTTGACAAGATGATGCAGAAGAGGGATACGTTTTCGACGGGCGTGAAATTTCGAATTTTGGCATGGAGTTTTACGAATTGAGCTTTGTGCGCGCCAAGGCTTCGCTTGCGAGAGTGCAGCTCACACTATAAAAACGAGCCAACGATGGAAGGTGTTGTGGTCTGCCTCCTGGTGATGTTCTCTGGTATGGTTTGAGTAGCCTGGGCACCTACTCCACTTGGGAAGGAGACATCTCAGATTACATTTCGCGCGGAGAAAAGTTGATGGATGACGGAGGCATGTCTGGATAACTCAGGGTTTTTGAGACGTTCCCCTGGGTGGGTATTCACGGATGAGGGTTGACTTGGGGTGAAGAAAAAGCCGCCATAACTTCGCAGTGGTACTTGCAAATGAAATCTGAGGCTTGAGTGCTCTACTTTTGAATTGAATCATCTATTCTATACTTTTCTTTGATATTGTGTCATAGCTAGATAGCTGCATACGCAATTAAAATCTGATGCAAAAAAAAATAAAAAATAAAAAATAAAAAGTAAGTAGTGTGAGTAAGACATACTAATGAAAATCGTACAAGGATTTGATTGCACAATTAAGGATATTTTGTTGCGGAACCTAATCCTAGGAGCCAGATGGAGCTGTGGTATCCCATATAGGTCATTTAATAAAATGTTTCAACATGTTACCGACACTCGGCCCAGCCAGCAGGTTGGTGATCAGAGATGAACCCAAAGTTGCTGCATTTGAACGAAATATTGTATTATTCAATGTGTTTGCATTTTTTGGTACTCAAAAATTTACCAGCCTTCTTCATGACGTGAATATGTAGTGATCGATGCATGACCTCCCGTGAGCAAACTTGAATAGTGCTCCTTGCTAATGTAGCTCACAAAATTAAGCGATAGTCAATATGCTGCTAATCTTTCTTGTCGAGTGATAATAAAAGGCAACGGCTGTCACCCACACGGGAATAAACAAAAGCAAGGATCAAGTAATTTTCAGTAGCCTAGCACAAATTTGGATAAAATACATAGTTTATAGCCGTATCACAGATTGTATCTACAGAGTTTTAAGCGTCAACACAACCTATTGAACTTCCTTTATCGTGATATTTGAAATAATATTATGCGCAAGAATTTCTAGTGATTTATAGCTTTTACTTATTCTCGTACCACTTTTGGCATGTGAGATTTTTATTACTGCATGAAAATATTACCTCTGCCTCAAATAGCATATTCTCTCATGTCTTCTTTATAGCCATCACACTACACTTAAATCTCGGGAATCCTGATATGACCTTTTGCATTTGGCAGCTTAGGTCAAATGGTTCTCCACCAAATCAGTGAAATAAAAGTCGCTTTAATCTTTATGGAAACTGGAAATTTCGCATAATGTACTCAGTGTCTGTACATCTAAATGCAAACCTTAAAATAAAATCCGTATACCGAATTACCCTTCAATAGATATTGGAGACTGTAGCCTGCCGGGTACTGCAAGCCAGACTCCACTCAAAGGATACAATCTTTGTATTCTTAGCCTTATGTAAAGTCATTCAATCATCTGTGCTTCGAGATAAATTAAAGGTTTCATTTAGATCTCTAGAAAGTCTTGACAGTGCATTCTGTAAATTAACTTAGCCTAAATTTTATGAGCTGTCTTAGTTATTGGAAAATGCCGTAGACTCATCAAAAATAAAACTCCTAACATTTAGTATTGGAGATAAGCTTGAATCTGTAGGCCCCACAGCGATAGCTATAGTTTCAAAAAGAATTATGCTACCAGATTTTTAGTCTTCATTCCGCTATGAACTCCTACCTTGTCTTGAGTTTAAACAGTAAATAATAATGCCATATTCGTACAGAATTAGGAACGGGAAGTTTGTAGAGCTTGTATTTTCACTGCCGGCGTTTATCATGACATGTTAACATTATTTTTATTAAATTTCTCTCAGAAGAGAAGACTTTGAAAATTTAGTAGATTATCAATCTACTGAAGCATTTTGCTAACCAGCTGTCGTAAGGTAGGAATAAATTGTACAGCTGCATAAGTATAGAATTCCAGTACCCTCAGATGAGTGGATGTGGATCTCCTGAAGCGATGCTTAAAATAACCAGTGGCAAATTCTGGTTTAAATGTGAGCCGAAAATTCTTGGGGCAATAAGAGAGCTCAAGTTGTATTAGGATACGGAGACTATTTCTGCTGCAAACCAGGAGTTGTATGGCTAGTTTGTGGTAAAACTTCCTATGCCTACTTAACATATTTATCTAGCGGTAATAACGCTATATATCTTAACCAGAGTGTAAACTTAGAGGAACCGCTATACGGTCATTGCCTCTCCTCTCTGGCTGTATAGGCAAAGGCCAATTGCAGGTGTGAGGCTTCCAGGAAAAATATGATAAAATAATTGAATTCAATAGCCCCCTGATTCCGGGATAAAGGCTTACTTGTAAGTCGTATTTGTACGTCTAAGGCGTACAGAGAATCTTAGCGCAGTAGACGTGCTTACACCTCAGTATGTCTAGCTTTCTTTTTCGAGACTCAAAATATCTCATCTCCTTTTTAGTATCGCATGAATGACCAAAGGTCGTAATAAATTTCTTAATAAAGCTTTTTCTAAAGCTGTCG